TTTAGAAAAATACTCATATAATAAATTAACACTTTTATATTTTTACACTATTATTTCTTTCCATTGAAAGTAATATTAAATATTATAAATTCTCATAATTTTAAAATTAAATTAATTTTAAAATCGAATAATTATAAAATAGAATTATTAATGAAATCTATAATAAATCTATAATATAATAAATTTATAATAAATAAAATTGCATAAAAGATATTAATATCTAAAAAAAATAAAATTTTAATATCTAAAAAAATAAAATTTTATTAAAATAGAATAAAAATTAATAAAAATATTTTATAAAAGAAAATATAAGAGAAAATTCATAACACAATATTTAAATAATTATTTACATATTTACACTGAATAAACACTTATTAGTTAATACCAATTATAAGACAAAATCTCGTTAAGCAATTGAAAAAATATCTTTATTGGGCGTTGGATCATCGATCTCTGTTATACAAGATTTGCTATACTTTTATAATACTATAAAGCGTGTATGTTTATTAACACTGTTCCCATATCGATCATTGAGATCGATAGAATTGAATTCAAGTGATCGAATACACAATGATAAACAATAACCTCGATGCAATTATCAAAACTCATTAATTAATCGATGATCAATTTTGAAATCGATTTATGAATCTTTATTATTGAAATATATCTTTTAACGATGATATAATATATAATATATATATATACATATTATATATATATATATATATATGTAGAATAAAAATTGTTTTTTTTTCTTTTTGAGGAAAATAATGTTGAATAGAATAAATAATCTAGTTAATGAATTTTTTAACGCTCGGTCGGTAAGGATATTTTTTGTAACTTTGAGTTTTCGAAAACTTTAAGTTTGTCTATTTATAATTTTTCGAAAATCTAATTTATAATTTTTCGAAAATGATTTAAAAAAATTTTAGAATACTTATTTTTCATTTACAATTGTTTATCCAATTAATTAAATGTATATTTGATAAGTTCTATAGCAGAAATAAAAATCTTTTTGATGGAAATAAAATTTTCAGGAGTGAAATGTTAATTCCGATATAAATCAAAATTACTATTGAGAATCAAAAATATATAAAACTATATTTTTTATTATTATATTTTTAAGATAAGTTTAATCTTAAAGTTTAAAATCTTTATTTACAAAAAACTTTTTTTCATAATGAAATAATTTAATTTTTCCATTTTCATTATAGAAAGTATTAAAAATTGATAGTTATTTAATGGCTAATAAAATAATGATTCTGTTTCATTATATTACAAAAACAGATATTAAAAATATTATGTTTCTACATTTTAAAATATTAACAATTGATAATTATTGAAATAAAATAACAATTTATTATTATGAATTTATTATTTGAAACATAATTTTTATAATTTATTTAAGAAAAAAATAATTAATTCTTTAAAAATCTTAATGCAAAAAAAATAAAAAAATATATTTAAGATATATATTTTCAAAAATTTTCAAATTTTCAAATCGTTTTAATAAATTAAATGTTTGTCAAACAAACCATTTACTCTAATTATATTGTTATAATTTTATATTAAATATATAAAATTATACTACATTAATACTACATTTCTATATATCATAGAATTAAAAAAACAGTAATCTTATCTTTAATAACTATTCAATTCTGTTCTAAGTTTTTGTTATCTTCAAGTTATAACACCATTATCTCATTTCCATTTTATAATTCTCTTCCGCAATTTACACTGGTTTCATAATCGACGCATGTTTCGTTCTTGTACTATTGCATTACTAATCCATGGTTAGATCGAGGAAAAGCTCGTCGTGTTCCATTCGTTTGAACCACCCTCGACCACAAGGAGGTGACAATTACCAGAGGCTAAATGAAATCACGGTTGGTTTGGCGGGAACGAAAACGACGAAGAGATGCAACGGTACATACCGCCGTATTCCCACGGTGAATTGCGATTGAGACTAGGAAACCGCGTCGAGGAAACACACCTTGGCGTGGATAATCGTCCAAGAATCGACAACAACCGCCGTCTGATGTCCCGTTGAATTCGAATCTTCGCTCGTTTCGCGCGTGAAATCGAGTGGTCGTCGTGCGCCAACTGTCGTCCATCCGGCGGAATTCAGTCATTGTGGAGTGCAAGTTTCGTGTGGGCCGTTAACAATGATGAGGCAAAGATGAAGAGATTTGACTAAGATTTTCCTCGTAAAAATATTATTTCGTTATATGTAATTGGAGAATTTTATAAATTTAGAAGAATCAAAGAAAATTGAGTAATTTTTCATAAGTTAAAAAATTTGAAATATTTTTTAGTTATTGAAAAGATTTAATTAGAATTTTCTTCATGAATTGTTTTGGAAAAATTGCAAATTTAGAAGGATCAAAATGTGAGAGATTCGATAGTTTTTCTTTGACAGTTTTTTATGATTTGAAATATTCTATATAATTTTTAATTAAATATTTAAGCAAAAGAATTTAATTATGATTTTTCTTATAAAACTTTTGTTTTTTTATATTTTTTGAAGATATGCAAATTGTTATTTTATATCTTCGACAATTTTTTATAAAAAAAAAGATTTAGAATATTTTGTATAATTTTTGTGTATTTTAATTAGATATTGCAAAAGTTAACAAAAATTGTTAAATTATATTGGTTATCTGTTTTTAACAATTTTTTATAATAAACATATGAGTAAAATTTAAAAAATGCACAAATTGATTTGTGAATTCTACAGAAGGAATATTTCTTATAAATCGTCGATAAATACATTCTCGATATTAACGGTACTCCATTGTCGATATATCGATAAAGATCTGTGATATTATAAAATTGTGAGAGTTTAATAAGAGAATAAAACAATAGACTTCTAATTAACCGGAAACAAATTAGTTCTCTTTTTTATGCAGATATAAATACATCCTGTATTTATGAATAAATTCACTACAAAGGTATGATTTAAAAGGAAGAAAAAATGTAAATAAATTATTGAATAATGATAAGATATAATCATGTTAATATTAAAAATAATTTTTTAAAAATATTTCTTTAAAATTTATCAATAAAATTTCATTTTAAAATAAGAATGAAATAAAAAAAAAATTACAAAATCAAAATGATATTTATTTTTAGAAAAATAATAAAATATAAAGAAAAACATTTTAATTACATCACAAATTCTAAATCGCATAAAAATAATTCAAAAATCAAACTTTCTCTAAAATATATATACACTCTATAATTCTTCAATATCGGTTGAAAGCCTTGATGCTTCAAGTTTTCAAATTGTAACCAATTATCAATAACTGCATCCTCAGATATCGAAACTCTCAATTAGCCAGCAATCCACTCTCAATCTTGCTTTCGAAACTTTACCAAACTGTTTCAACAAAACAACATTCCTTATATCTAGTATCTTTCTCGTGAAAACCAACAAACATGTATAAAAGAATGAAACAAACAAAATAAATCAAAATAAATTCTCTCAATAAAAATCTTTCCCACCAAAACAATTTTACTTCACGAAAACGCAATTCCTCAACTCTATATTGAAAAATAAGGAAGAAAAAGCGGAACAATCGTTCGAAGGGTTGCACGCGATCGTTTCTTCCAGAACGATTATCGATCGTGGATTCCCTTTGAATCTTGGAAAAATAGTAACGGTAACTCTTGGAAAAGAAATATAAAAACTTTGTTCGCGCCAGAATGACAAACGAATTAGAAATTAAAATCATTCGACTGGTTCTATATTAGTCTTCTTGGTAAGATCGTGAGAAACTGACATCTGTTCGCGTTGTTATTTTTGCCTGATGATCCATGAATCGTGACTGCTTCGATTGATCGAGAAACTGGAACCGCGGTTTCGGTTCGTTAGCGAATTAATTGCAATTCGAATTAATTGTGGTGCAAGTTTTTTCTAAGATTTTCTATGGAATTTTTATGCTGTCTTTGGTAGCTAATAAAATCATCAATTAACTATGTAAATAGATACATATAATAAATAAATATAAAGAAAAATGGAATATGAAATATATGGAATAATGGAATAATGATTTTTGATTCATTTGTTGGAAATTTGAAATTTTATATTATAGTTATTTTGAAAAATGAATACGATATTTTTTTTAAAAAGAAAATATTTATATATAAGTTCGAGTATAAGAATAGTTTCGAGTAGTTATAAAGGATAGTTTTGGTAAAAATTATTATATAATCAATCAATTTTGTAATAATCAATTAAAAAAATTAATATGTAAAAAATAATTTGAGATTTTAAGAATAAAGAACAAAGAAATAAAGAATAAAGAACACGTGAATTAATGAAAATGTTATTAAATTATATTATCTATATTGTACATTATTGAATGAAGAATTTTATTTATTAAAAATCAATTTTGTAAAAATTATTATAAATTCCTATAATAATTTATAATATTATATAATATAAATATTTATAATTTTGTTATTGTTTAAAATTATAATAAATATTTTATACATAATAGTATAAACATTTTATTATAATTTTAACAATAATAAAGTCATGCAAAATTTAATTTTAAATATAGCAATTAAAAATCGAAAACATTCGAATTTGAAGAAATTTAAAAATTTCAATAATTTAAAACGCAAGTATTATCACCATGTTTTTTTAACCAAATAAACAGTGTAAAAAATAATGGAAGTCCTTTCTATATTATGATGGTCAGTATCATATCTAATCAAAACAAATGATAACCACAAAACGAATTACAGTGAGAAAAATTTGCACATGAGCAGTAGAACATAAGGACATGGCGGAAACCTGCAAAAGTCGAGGAGTGGTGCACGCTTCCTGTCATTGTTAACGGCGCTTTTCGGCGTGCATCCGCTCCCGGAGAAAGCGTATCGGCCGATACTCCTTACGCCGCGGCTGCTTCCGCTCGAATAGCGTGCGGTTTCCGGTGCGTGGCGCACGTACGATGAAGGTGATACACACCGCCTTCATGCGCATATCGATAGTCAGTCGGAACTGGGCTGCCGCTCGTGACGGTTGTGGTCCACATTAGTTCTTAGATTTTTTATTTCTTTTTTTTCGTCTGTTAAAATCCTTTGTTGGATCTACTTTTTTTTTTGTTTTATTTCTAAAATTGTGTGATTGATTCTAACTTTATAGTTTTGATTATATTTATGTAAAGAAATTGGTTTTTTGTGAGCATTTTTGTGATAAGAATTTAGTGATTTTTTAGTAATTTTATAATACTTTTTAAATCGTAAGGATTATTTTAATTTTAATAATAAGGATTTTATGATTTATTTTTTTTTTCTTTTCATTTTTGAAATATTAATATTATATTTGTCGATCATATTAAATTAATGAGTGAAGAGTCATTACTCGTTTATAAATATTTTTAATATAAATTAAAAAAAAAAGAATATGTATATTTTTGAGATACATATATTTTTGTATTTGAAAAATTTAGAATAGTTTAGATTTTTATTTATTTATATATTTTATATTTAAGAAAAATAATCTTGATGATTTTATTATATTAAAAATTAATTGTCATTTTTTAATAGTATTAAATGAACTTTAATTATGTTATCATTTAATTAAATTATCCTGTTTCGATTGTTGAATTATAATTAGTTGTTTGAACGAAATAGATAAAATATTATCTTAAATGTTGCATGCAGAGTATAATCAAAATTATCAACTTCCTTTTATGTTTGTCTTCTTTAATTGGAATAAAAATAATTAATTATATTTCATATAGTAGACTAAACATTGAATAATATTCAATCACAAATCAGTACAAATCAAAAATAATAATCATTACTTTGAATTTGCTCATTTTTATTATTTAAAATAAAAAATTACTTACAAAAATTAATTTCAATATTAAATATTTATACTATTAATACTCACTGAATTCAGACAATTTTGAATCGATTTGGTTATTTTTATTTTAATTAAATTATTTTTAATAATTATTAAATTATTTTAAACAGTTAAAAATTTAAGTTATATTATAAAAGATTAAATATATATTATATTCTGGATTGTATTATATATTTGTATACGATTTTGATATATATATTCTATTTCTACTAGAACATTTATTTCTAAAGCTTAATTTATCAAATTAATTTAACAAAAATCTTATCAAAGCTAAATACATCAAATATATCATTTTTATAAAATCACAAAAATTTATAAAAATCTAATCTTCTCAAATACATATCTATGCATAT